AGTTCATGATTTTGTCCCCACACCCACAGTCCATGACATGGTCTAATCTTCTTCTTCCACGCTGGCGTCTCCACCCAGCTGCTTCCGATCAGGTGTGAAGGTGCGGAGACAAAGGATGACCTTGGCTTCTAGTAAAGAATGAAAAACAATACATTCCACAATCTCACTCCTGTCTATTCCCCCCTCCCATCAACTATACTAAAGAAACAGCATAATGAAATAAGAGAAGGTGTGGCAGGCCAAAATTCTAAAAGGAATATAAATGCAGGCCTGACAATAGTACTCGAAGGCGGACATTCAAATTTGATTTGGAAACCTTGCTGAAAAATGATTTATTAAATAATATCAGTTAAATGCATGTATAAAGAAAGTAAGATTAAATAATACCATTTAAATGCATGTATAAAGAAAGTAAGATTTTGTTTTCAGTGCTTCTATGGGATTTGAATAATGTGGTTCCCCCCCTCTTTTTTTTCCCCTTAACACTTTGATGATGACATGGCAACTGGCAGAACCAGGTAAACCATGAAAGACGACTTGCCAACAAATCTGATGAAGAAGAAATAAGCCCTTTTATTCTGCCCGGAAAAATCAGAAACTCTAAAATGGAAGATATTGCCAATACTTCATGCACAAGAGAGAGCGGTGCCGTTTTGGACTCCCCAGGAAATGGAAGTCAGACTGAAGGCAGTGAGAAAGAAGTCAGCCATTCTGAAAGTAGCATTGATGCTGATAGCGAGGCCTCTGAAAGCGAAAGCGCGGCTAAGCAAATTACGGCCAATAAAACTTGTCCCTCACCTGATTTATGCACAGACGGACACAGACACTTACCTACAAATACTAAAACGCAATATAGCAAACCCAGCAATAGCAGTACGGAGGCACTTTCTAGTACCTTGTCAAAATTTCACTTTGGAAGCACAGCCATTGAGAGTGAAGGGCCTCTCAACACTCTTTCGAGCCTGTCGAAGAACAGTGCCTTTTCCACAGAGGTGCAAAACCCTCAAAATGCTTTCCAGACACTTTCTCAGAGTTACGTAACAAGTTCTAAGGAATGTTCGGTTCAGTCATGCCTCTATCAGTTTACCTCCGTGGAGCTGCTAATGGGGAACAATAAGCTGCTGTGTGAAAACTGTACAGATCAGAAGCACAAACACCAGAAAAAAGCAAATTCCACAGGTAGCTGGTAATAAAAATCTTTCTGATTCAAGGACATGCTCATTCAAGAGTGGTATTTATGCATTTTGGAAAGCAGCACCCTTCCCATATTTTATACCAGGGGTGTCAAACTCAAGGCCCAGGAGTCGGATCTGGCTCACGGGGTGCTTAGATCTGGCCCATAGGGTCACCCTGGGAACAGCAAAGGACTGGCCCCTGGTGCCTCTGCTAGTGAAAACGGAGATCAGGAGGGTCCCGTGCAGCCCCCCTAAGCTCTGTTTTCGCTGGGGGAGGGTTGCAGGAGGCTGTTGCAGCTGAAAACAGAACTCAGGAGCCTGTTTTCGCTGGCAGAGCGCTAGGGCCACCATCTGCGCACCTGACATGAGTGGCGTCGAGGTGGCCATGCCCCCCGCCCTCTCCTGAGGTCAACTACAACTTTGATGTGGCCCTCAATGAAATCGAGTTTGACACCCCTGCCTTATACTGTCTGCTTTAAAAGTGAATTGAGGGATCCATTTCAAAGGTCTTGTGAAAACTCACCTAGAGGTTAGCTATTCATTGATTCTTTGCAGATAAGATTGTTCAGGTTCATTGCTGGCTTTGATGTCACCAAGGCAAGGGTGTCTGATGAACCATCCAGTACCATCATTTTTGAGACAGCTTTGCAGTTTATCTCCTGAAGAATAAGGGAATATTCTTGAATCCGTTGGAGCCAGTTGGATCTCTTCTCAAGTTGGCTTGGAGGGCCCTGTAAAAAAAAAAAAACCTAGCCCGCCAATGATCAGATTGTTGTTTCCTTCTTGCAGATAGAAGGAAAGAGTGAGGGTGTTGTTTAAGGAGGTAAAGTTTGGTCAGTTTTAATCACTGTTGGGTGATATCTAGTATTCCACACTCAGCTAAGCTGATGGGGAAGTAGTGGTACTACACTTTCAAAGTTTTCTTTTAAACAGAATGGATAACCTGATCATTCTGTGTCTGGGTTTAGCCACGGAGTTGCTCATTGGTTGGCCTGTACAACAAGGAAAACCCTTATTAATGCTACTACTGGCTTTTTCAGTGGCTTGTGGTACTATTGACCAGGATATATTATTGGAACGTCTGTTTCTATCTCTATCATCTCTATCTCTCCATCTGTCTCTGTCTCTATCTCTATGCCTTGCCTTATATTTTTCATGTATTTTCAGATCATTTTCCTTATAAATGATGTATTTTTTTTTATAGATAAGAAGACAGAAAGTGTCTATACAAATGCTAGGAAGCAGCTGCTGATTTCTTTGGTTCCTGCTGTTCTGATCCTCCATCTGAAAAGATTTCATCAGGTAATGCACTGAAAAGGATGGGTTTTTTCCTCCTTAAAAGTTAATAGACAGATATTTTTATTAGAACTACATTAAATATTTGTTTGGTTCACTCTCAGAAGTTGTCTAGGAGCGGTGGAAGATTTGCAAAAACAAAGTGGTCTTTGTTGCACATTGGCATTTTAGTTTTTTTAAAATCTGTAAAAAACCCTTTTCTTTTTCTCAGTATCTATTATAAGACACTATGAGTAAGTGTCTGTGTGTGTATTATACAGAGTTCATTGTCTTTCCACTACTTTTTGAAAAGTAGTACAGTATATCTATTGAAAGAAAAAAATAACTAAGTTTTGTTTCAGCACTACTTGATTCCTACCTTAATAATATGCTTCAAATAAAGCATTCAGATTCAGGTTTTGCTCTTGATTCCTAAATATTCTATGTTTCATTTTTCCTGGACTGGAGTGATACAAGCCAAGATTATATTTTAGGTTGTATTTAGCTTTACAATATCATTTGTTTTGTAGATCACTCATAGTTGCTACTGATTTATTTATTTCAAAATGTCCTATTTCAGATATTTATGCATTAAATTCAAATTCTACAAATACTTTTAATTTCTTTTGAAGGCTGGCATGAGCCTACGAAAAGTAAATCGACATGTAGATTTCCCACTTGTTTTGGACTTGGCTCCATTTTGTTCTGCCTTTTGCAAGGTAAGACATTATAAAAGCATAATGTCAGATTGTGTTTGAAGCAAAATTGGTAATGTTTCAGTCGAAAATTGAAGTGAGTTTCTTCTTACAAACATCACACATTTTTAGTCATACATTTCAGTCAGATTCGTATTCAGCACAATATCATTTTGTTAAACTAAGCTTTAACAATAGCTGAAAATACCTTTTGCTACCTGAAATTAGAATAAATTGGCTGTTTTCTTTGAATAACATTGCATTTATTTAACATGTATCAAAGAGTTGGCCAGTTGTAGTTTCTACAATAAAGCTTTTCTTGCTGGGTTAAACTTAGGGCTAATTATTAACAATACATTTAGAAGAGAAAGAGAGAAATAAGGCAAATTAAAATATAAGAAAAACTATGTTAGTTAGCCAGTGCAGCAGAATTACAAAACCCATATTGAAAGTATTACAAAGACCCATACTATGTGACCCTCACTTCTTTCCTTCCTTTCCTAGAATGTCACTGATGGTGGGAAGGTCCTCTATGCGCTTTATGGAATAGTAGAGCATAATGGCTCCATGCGGGGAGGTCATTATGCAGCTTATGTAAAAATCCGATCATCGTCCAAAAAACATTTGGAGCACAATTCTAGCAATAAAAACGTTCAAGGTATGTGTCTAAACAAAACTGTGTGATTAGATTAAAAAAAAATACAGATGTTGTGTAAACAGGTAGTCCCCAACTTACCACCACCATTGGAATCAGAATTTTCATTGCTAAGCAAGGCAGTTTTTAAGTGAGTGGCACCCAATTTTATGTCCTATTTTGCTCCAGTTAAGACATGAATCATTGCATTTGTTAAGTGATTCATGTGGTCATTAAGCGAATCTGACTTCCTGCGTTGACTTTGCTTGTCAGAAGCCAACTGGGAAAGTTGGAAATAGTGATCATGTGACTCCGGGACGTGGCAACTGACATAAATGCATGCTGGTTGCCAAGTGCCTGAATTTTTTATTATGTGACCAGCGTATGCTGCTGCTGTCATAAGTGCAAAGACTGCTTCTGCTTATTATTTTCAGTGCCACTGTAATTTTGAATGGTTGCTAAGTGAATGGTTGTAAATCAAGGATTATATACATGTATGTATGTAATCTTTATTATATTTTCATTTGCATAGTTCCCCTCTCCCCCCAAATATTGTTACAAATGCTAATAATTGCAGAAAACTGTTTCCTTTACATTGCATGCATCATATCAGTTAACATGATTTTAATTTTAGCATGAGGTGGACATGAATTTAAGCAATCAGATGTGGCTGGTACTCTCAAGAGGCCCATATATTAGAAAAACGTACTTTTTTAATGGAGTCTAGATTTGGTATGCTATACTGTATCACTTTTTCCCCAGCCTTGAAGCTCTTGCCTCCTTGCTCAAGCAGAGAATGATAAGAAGAATATAAAAAGTACCCTCATTATTTACAAGAACCACTTTAGTCTCTTTCAAATGCTCTTGCTTGTTCCAAGCCGCAATTTGGGTGTTACTACTATGTGGTTTCCTTGTTTCACAGAGTCTTTCTCAAGCAACTTTCACAACTTTCAGTAAAGCTTCCAAAAGAACAGAGCCAAGATCCTAAAACAAATTTGTAAATGTTTTAGAGCAGGGGTGTCAACCTCACGGCATCACGGGGGCGTCATGTGATTTTGTGATTTCCCTCCCCCCATTGCTAAACCGGGCGTGGGCGTGCCAGTGTGTGATGCTTCTAGCATGTGGGCCGCGAGTTTGACAGCCCTGTTTTAAGAGTGAGATATTTGCTTCTGAATCCTAATGGTTTGCTTAGCTTGATTTTACCTGTTGATTCCAGCTAATGAATACTGGTTGTGTGCGTTTGTTTGCATTGCAGGTTTAAAAGAATCTCCGGGATCAGCAGTAGGACAGTGGGTTTATGTCAGTGATACCTATGTACAAGCAGTCCCAGAATCAAGAGTATTAAATTCACAAGCCTATTTGCTTTTCTATGAAAGAATCCTGTAGCCATGTTCAGTATGGAAAACTGGGAAGCAATTGATGTTATTTAACTTGCTTAAGTGCACAGAAAATTACAGTACATGTAAATATTGTGCCTTTATCTGTTCTTCTTCAATAGAAAATATACCCTGGTTTCAGACTCTGTAAATCATGCCTTGGATACAGAATAGCCTATGCATGCATTGTCCCCGCCCCCCTTTTTTATCATGCATTCAAAATACAGTAGAGTGGCTAACATTTTAATTCAGTTGCTGTTTTAAAAGAACCCATAGCTTCATATGCTTTTATGAAGAGTTGAGGGCACAGACTGCATTAAAATGGAAATTATTTTTTTAAAAAAATTCATATGTGATTGTAAGACGTGGGTGTATGTGTGTGTTTCTGAATCCAAGCAGGCACTGATTTTGAACTTCTAAGCTGTAATGTGAAATAATACATTGTGAAATGAAATAGTCATTTTTTTCAAAATGGGCTAGTTAAAATCATGTGCTTTTTCAAAAGTTAATTGATAAGACTTGATAAGACTGACAACCTGATTTTTCCTCAGTCAAGAAAAAGCTGTTTAGGGACATCATGTTTTTGTAAAATATTTGGCACTGAATTATTCTTGAAAGGAATAATTTGTATAAATTTAACATGTTCCACAAATGGAATCAAAATGGTTCATTCTACAAAACTAGGATACTATATTGTGTGTCCTAAGGGAATGTGGGAGTGCAGGCCTGATTTTATTCCAGGATGCTTTTCTTTATTTGAATATGCCTTGAAATCTGATAATGTTATAGGTGAAATTATCAGAAAGAAGCAAGTTAAACAGACATTTGTCCTGTGATGTGCTGGCATTCAAATTTAGTGAACCCCAAACCACCTCTGAATCCATCTAACTTGCACTGTGAAGCTGGAGCAAGCCATACCTTTTCAGAGCAATTGGATATTCTCCATATAAATCTATTGACAAACTATGCATGTGTTCGAGAGAAGAGATTACCGTATTTTTTGGAAGAGTGTAAGGCATACCCCCCCCCAAAAGTGAATAAAAATTTAGGTGCATCTTATAGACAGAATACGGCAGTAGTGGGATTCAAATTTTTTTACTACCCGTTTGCTACCGGTGTGGCTTGGTGGGCTTGGTACGGCTTAGTGGGCGTGGCTTGGTGGCCATGGCAGGGGAAGGATACTCTAAAATCTCCATTCCCACCCCACTACAGGGAAAGGTTACTGCAAAATCCCCATTTCCTCCTTATCACTGGGACTCGGGAAGCAGAGAATAAATGGGGATGGGGCCAGTCAGAGGTGGTATTTCCAAATTACTGAAAATTTCTGCTACTGGTTCTCCAGAACTGGTTAGAACCGGCTAAATACCAGCTCTGGAACACAGGCAGTTTTGGCCTCCCGAACCGTCTGCGCATCATGTTTTCACCCTCACAGGTCCTCAGAAGCACTCTGCAGTGCTCTGCATGCCCTGTTTTTACTAAAAATAGGCTCATTTTTGGGCTGCCAAGCCCTCCACGCATTGCATTTTTGCCCTCCCAGGCCCCCAGAAGCACTCTGCAGGCCAAAAATGTTTTTTGGGCAAAAACGGGTTGGGCGGAGACTGCAGAGTGCTTCTGGGGGCCTGGAAGGGCAAAAACGTGACACAGGGAGAGCTGTGCGGATCACTGCGGAGTGCTTCTGGGGGCCACGGAGGCCAAAAACTATTTTTTTCTTGTTTTTCTCCTGTAAGTTTAGTTGCATAGTCCGATTCATTTTATAGTCTGAAAAATACGGTATTTCTCTGAACATTGAAAAACAATGTCATGCAGAATAAATCTCAGAAGCACAAGTATGTGTACTGTACATACGTTTTTACTTTTTAATGCATGCTGTCATGGCCCTGTTTTTATAATAATGTTAAATAGGTCAAGAAGGGAATTAAACTAGGAACCCCAACAAGGAAAAGTTAATTTAACTTTATCCAGTCACATTGTGGAAATATATAAAGACAGGTAATTTACTTATCTACTTAATACTGCATTTAACCAAGGTGGCGCAGTGGTTAAATGCAGCACTGCAGGCTACTGCTAGATCAGCAGGTCAGCGGTTCAAATCTCACCGGCTCAGGGTTGACTCAGCCTNCTTGCTGTGACCCCCTAGGAAAAGGTTATGCCCCGCCCTGTACTGTGAGGTGTCAGGCACTACTTTACTTTTAACTGGAAAAGCTGAAACGTTGGCAACTTGATGGGTGCATAAAAAAGATTTCAGATATGTAGAATATAAATAGAAGACCCTGTACATATTAACCTGGAAGCATTTGAGCACATTTACATAGAACTTAAAGGGATACAGTGGCTCAGTGATTAAGATGCTGAGCTTGTCAATCAGAAAGGTCGGCAGTTCAGCGATTCGAATCCCTAGCGCCACATAATGGAGTGAGGTCCTGCTACTTGTCTGAGCTGCCAATCTAGCAGTTTGAAAACACGTAAAAATGCAAGTAGAAAAATAGGAACCACCTTTGGTGGGAAGGTAACAGCATTCCATGCACCTTCAACGTTTAATCATGCTGGCCACATGACCACGGAGACGTCTTTGGACAGCGCTGGCTCTTCGGCTTAGAAATGGAGATGGGCACCACCCCCTAGAGTTTGGAATGATTAGCACATATATGCGAGGGGAACCTTTACCTTTACGCAGAACTTATAAAATTCATGCTGTGTAAGGAGTTGGGGAGATTATTTTCTGCTGATAAAACACCAGTTATATCATAAACTCAAGGCAAATAGTTGTGCTTCTCAGCTTGTTGTTGATGAGTAAAGTTCACATAATTAGTGTCAGGTTAAAGTTAAAGATACCAAAACCCATATTTTTTGAATAGTTTTCAAAATTATATTAAGGGGGAAAGTAAAATCTACTGGAATTTACTGCTTCATCATACAACATGATAAAATGCCTACCACATTCTTGTGAAGTACAAATGATATATCTTTATCTTATTAGCAGAAATAAAAACCAAAATTGAATGTAGTCATCGATAATTCATTTTTATAATCAAACTGTATCTGGATGAAAACATCCAACGACCTCTTTCGTCTTATTGCCATCTGGTGGCCACCCCAGTATTTGCAGCTTTGGTATGATAATTCCCCCCCCCCCCCCCCCATGCTGATGGATGCAAACTATAACTTATTTTGGATGTATATTTTCTGAATTAAATCCTAGAATTAATTCTGCTAAATTTAGAATAGAGATGCACAATTTTTAAATAAGTTCTTTTTCCCCAGCATATGGAAGAGAGGGTGTGAAGATGAATTTCATAGACAGGATTTTTGTGGGTGAATTAACCAGCACTATCATGTGCGAGGAATGTGAAAATGTAAGTATTATGGAATTTGATAAGAAGGGTGTTGAATAATCATTTGGATAATGGTAGGCTAATTTCTGATATTGTCATGACATTGTGGACTGGCTTCTTAAACATTATGGAAATCAGTTCATTAAGTTCAGCTTGGTTTCCACCTCTCTAATTTGTCATGTATTGGAGAAGTAAGAAATGCTTTTCTTATAATCAGCATAGATCTAAGAATACCAGTTAAAAAAATAACTAATATGTAAAGAGAAAGAATGTTTTCTCCTGAAAGATTCATTAGTGCATGCAGACCAACACTTAAGTTGGAGCCTGTAGCTTGAGCAGCGGAAGGAGGCACAGCACAGAAGTCAATAGATTGGTCTCAGGTACTGGTATGAGAATTGTGAGGTCTTTAGGATGGTCCTGGTTGGTTATTGGTTGGTTGTTGCTGTTGTCCATTCACTTGCTTCTCCATCCTATCTTCTTCGCTTTACGGGAAGATGAAAAAGCAAAAAATATAAATGCAGAAATTACATCTATATTTTTTGTTCACTGCCTATTTCTATTGCTTGAAAAAAGCAAGTGAACAAAAATTATGGTAATAAGGAAGAAAAGCAACTTTAGGCAACAGAGTTGGTAGTGTGCCTGCTACCAGGGTGTTAGACTTTGGCATTCTAGCTACTAAGATGAGAGACAACTCAGTTGCTTGGTGCCTGATTTTACCAGCCAGTATACTTGGCCTTGTTTCATAGTATGCTTCTATTTAATTGGTGTCTCTGCTGAAGGAAGATTCTGTGATCCAGTTGAAGTTTATGTCTTAAGGAAGGAATGACAATTCTGATAACTGCACTTTGGCCTCGCTGCCTTCCACATTTTTTTTTAAAGGGTTGCCAATCCATCAGAGCAGGAAGAGGGGCAATAACTTAGAATGATCTCTCCCCCATACTTCTAACAGTTGGCAAAAACTTTCTGTTAGTCAAGAGACGTTAGTTGAATATATAGTTAGGTGATTGGAGGTTTAATCACCTGATTAAGTATGATTTACAAGTATTTTTTATGAACAATACTGATTTAAATATATTTATTGATACCTGTGAAGAATCATATTTTAATAGTTTTCTATAGGTTTCATTGGTGATAATGAACACTTCATATTTATATGGTCTTTTCTAATGAGTCAGTATTTCTGAACTCACAAGCAACGAGGATTGTTTATTCAGTTTCCAAGATTCTCTTTTTTTTTTTAAACAACTTTATTTATTTCATTTTCATTTTCATTTTATACAATCACTTATATACTGTGCATAACAAAAAAAAAAAAAAATCCACCATAAAAAACCAACATAACACTTCAATCCCCCATACACCCTTTCTTCTCCCCCTCCAA